GCATTGTCTCCAATTTCACCAGATTGTGCAAACCTTGACTGTTGAACAAAAAAATAACAAAAAGCAAAAGCCACTGGACTTGGTCCCCTCCCTGGCACCGAGCATGCCCAAACGTGCAAGCACATCCGCTCTGTCCTGCTGCGGGGCCCTGTCCCAGGCGGCGGGCGGGGGGCTACTCACTGGTGGAAAGGAAGCGGCAGAGGTTCCAGGGCTGACGCCGGCACCAGGCCCCGCTGACCCGTCACCAAGGACACGCCTTCCCACTCGGACCCGCCTTCGCCTTCGGCTGTTTTCACTGAGATTAACTCGGTCTCGCAAAGTGTCAGACACTCCCCTTCCTTCTCAGCTGGCTGAGCCACGGCGCACATGGCTCTGCAGAAGAAGTGGCCTGTAGATAATGAGAAAAGCCCTTCCAAGGAGTAGCAGGAAGTGAAAGGGGATTATCACGCAATGCAAAGCTCCTCTCCGTGGCCCAGACACTTCACTTCCTGGGAGAAAAGTACAGAGTTGGGCAAGGGGGAAGGCCCAGAGGCACCGCAGGGGGCCCTTGTGAACCCCGGAAAACTGGCACCAGGAAAAAAGCCACGAAGAGGGAATTCACTTAAAATAGACACCAAAACTTTTGAGTAATTCATGAGTCTACGGTTTAATTGGGACTTCACCTTGAAAAAGAATGAAATAAAAACTTATGAAACTATGTTTAACAGAACTTCAGTTATAATTGCAACTTCATGCTTAATCTTAGGACCAACAAAGAATGAATTACGTTGATTCGGATAAATATAATTTCTCCAAGTAAATGTTATAGTAACATATTATGAAATTGTTTCATAATGAAATATGAATACCAAGTTATATTGTTTGTGCAATGCAGGCACAAAGGAAATCATTTTGCAAAAGACTGCAGATCTGGCTCTCTAAGTGTCTATGACGTCATCCCTCGTCGACTGGTCAGGTCCTTCCTGGTGAACAGATTTGTGGGAGCTTCATGCAGTTCCCCAACATCCCTTTCCTCGATCTCATGAAATCTTTTAGGTTTTGCAAGATTTGCCATTTTAATTTACAATCAAATTATATGTTTAGAAAAATGATTCTCAGTCTTGGCTGCACATTGGAATTACCTGGGCACCTTTCCATATGTACCGAAGCCTGGGCCCCCACGTCTGGAGGTCTAACGGTCCTGCATGGAGCCCTGGCAAAGGCATCGTCTGAAAACGCCCCGAGTGGTTCCAACACCAGACAGTCAGCGAGACTGGCCAGCAGAGATGTTCACGTGATGTCAGTGTTAAACTGAGAGAGCTATTTGAAGTAACATTATAACAAGTGGGTTCATTTGTGAATATTATCACGTTTGAATGGTTTTTGCCTCCTTTGTAACCTGATTATTTCAGGGACTCTGATAATAAATATCCAGATAAGACCCTCATCCCCACCCCTACTCCATGCTCACCTTCCTGTGTCAGGAGAGCCAGGTATATTGTTTCCAGGTGTTTATCATCTACTGACACTTGGATCTCCGTATCCTCCACCAGTCTGCAGTTGAGCCAGTACTTGTGGTCAAAGAGAAGATGCTCCAGGCAGGCGGAGACGTAGCCTAAGAAGTCAAGCCAACAAGGCTCCTGAGCAGGCTGACTGCTGCCATTAGCTGAGCACAGAGGAGGGTGAGCAAGCCCTCACCTCAAGTCCCCTCCCTGACTTCCTCCCCATTTAACTGGAATTAGAAGAGCATAAAAGGGGTAGCTTAGAAATTTCCAGAATGACTTGATTCTTGTCAGCATCTGTGGGGAAGTATAAGTCTTTTCAATGATCTCTACCATTTTCGACAAATGTATGGGTCTCCATTATGTGTAATGAGATGACTAAACCCCATTACCTTTTTCTAATGTATCCATGAAGGACTCTCTAAGATGACAATGCTGATGCTGGGGGTTCCTGGCTCCTCCTTAAAGTGACGTGAGGCCTAAAATCCTGTACCCCCGGTGATGCAGAGGCTGGGGCGGGGGTTCTCCATGGCCCACAGAGGAGTCAAGATTTACTTCAATGTCCCCAATCTGGCCCTCAACCTCGGCCGTGCCCAGCAAGCTCCCCTTTGTTAAAATCAGACTAGAAACTAAGCAAATTGCAGAATTCTAACAGTTATGGATATAGTACTTTAAATATGCCAATAAATGTGAAGTATTTGTTTTAAAATTTTGCTTATTTTGAGACTTCATCTTTTCTTATGTGGCAAAGCGCGCCTCTTTCCGTTCTGACTCTGTTGTAATGTCATAGGCCTCGTGTGTCTTCTTTAACGGTGCTTCACGTACTTTACTATGTGCACAGATCGCCTGGGGAGCTTACTGAAGTGCAGGCGCTGGCTCAGCAGGCCTGGGGCAGGGCCTGGGAGTCCACCTTCCTAACCTGTTCCTGTGATAATGGTGCTGCTGCCCACGGAGCCCCCTTTGGAGACTGAGGGCCTCTTATGGTCGCAGGAGGAGATGTGTGAGGTAGAGAGAAGGAAGTCACCGCGACTGTGAGAGAACGGACACCCTCTGGCCGTGAGTCCCGCACCAGGTTGCTTCCTCTGTAAGTCCACACAGAGTCCCGCACTCTCTGGGGACTGTACCACGGGCGTCCATTCAAGTGGCCTCCTCTTGCTTTGTAACTTCCCTGTCACGAGTTATCCTCCGGGGAGGAGGTAGGTGACGCATTTCCCACCACAGCAGTACAATGCTGTGCCCCCAAGTCCCTCTTCACCTTCTAGAAAACCCTGCAAGTGAGGCCCTGTTAGCAGATAGCTCCTCCATCTCACACTTTGTCTCTTTTCCAGAAGCGTGGAATAAAGTATCAGGAACTTTATGATTTTAAGCAGCTAGTTTGACTTTACTCCAGACTGGCTCCTTTCCTTCAAACCATCAAATTCGTATCTATCTTGGTACTTTGAATTTAGTCTTGACCAATAACTATTTGCCAATCGTTTGATTCTCTAAAAGAGAAGTCCCTCTTTGAATACCAAGAAGTGTTGCACGTTGCATTTTAGAATAATAGTGAATGTCTGCTTTAGATTTCATTCCAAGTATTTTGTGGTTAACTATGCTTGCCAGGGCTCTGCCTCTTTTAATTATCTGAGCCAAACCAATCCCTTAATGTCAAACCCTCCAAACCGGCTGGCATAGGTGCTCTTCCACCTGCCTGCCTGGGTCGTACCTAAGCTCAGATAGGTGGAGAACTTCCAGATTTCCTCCATGGTCTTGAAAGTGATGAGGAACTGGGCCTCCTGAGCCTGGATGCCCACCAGCCTGGCAGAGAGGTCCTGGGTAAAGAGAACGGTGTGTCAGCCTGGCATGGCAGTGTCTGGCTAACAAGCTCACATAGGTACAAAATGCTCTGTATGAATTTCTTAATTGTGGCATTGAGTTTCACATCAAAGACACACAAAAAAGGAAACAACCTAAATGCCCATCATAGGAAACTGGTTAAAATGAATTATGGTTCATCCAGACAAATGGAATATTATGATATCATGCAGCCATAAAAACAAGAATGAAGAAACTCTTTGTGCACTGATATAGCCTCTAAATATATACTGCTAAATGGAACAATGGCAATGACAAAAAGAAAAAAAACAGGGTGTAGAACTATGTGCAGTGAATGCTACCTGTTGTGTAAAAAAAAAAAGTTGTGTGCAGTGGGTGGAAAATAAATCATGGAAGGCACTTTGTGAATCTATGTGTACTGATTATTTTTATAAAGCTGGCAAACAGGAAAAGCACACAAAAATAAAAATTATTAACAGTCCTTTTTCCACACAAGTTTCTATATAACTATATCAATATAAATAGCATCACGTAAATTGTTATGTAATCTTTTGTTGCCAAACAATATTTTGTGGACCATTTTCCGTGTCATTGAATAACCCACATTATTTTTAATGGTTACATATGCCATTGTTGCATCCACACAATTCATTCTTAACGTTTCCTCAGGGTTAGACATTTGAGTTGTTTTCATTTTTTTTCAACATCCCAAACAGCACTGTGATAAGCGTCCTACACCCAAACCTTTGTACATGCCCTGGGCTGTAAGTGTGCACACCCTGCACAGCACTTACAAGGGTGAGTGCGCTTTCAGTCCTGTAACGCAGGAGCCCCGCTTCCCTCCGAAGGCACTGCCAGTCACCTGCTCCGGGCAGAGCCAGAGGAGGCCTGCAGGCCCCACCCCCTTTTTCAATGCCTGAAAAAACAGGCCTGAGTCGCAGGCCCAAACTTGGTTTTCCCCTAGAATCCTTCTCTGTTGCTTGCCCAAGCCCCCGGAGTTGACCGCCATAAGGGACGATCAGAAAGTCCCTGTCCCCCCAGGCCAGGTCCTGCCATCAAAGATCAATCCCTGGAACCCTGATCTGGGAGAAGCCTGGAGAAAGATGAAGAGAGAAGGATTGGAAGGAAGAGCCAGCCCTTCGCTGAGCCAAGTCAGAGTTCTGGTGCTCTGCACACCAGGCACCAGGAGGTCCCCGGAGGGATGAAGTCCTAGTCATCAGGGAAGCAGTTCTAGGCAAAAATTGATTTACAGGGAATTTATTAATTGTCAAGCGCTTCACCAAGAACTTTATGAGCAATGCCTCACTTAATTCTCACAATCCACTTATGAAAAGAGTACAATTACAGTACTTAATCCATTCTACAATGCCCTTTTACCATCTTTAACAATTTCTGAAACAAAAGATAAGGAAGCATGACATTGTACGTAAGTGGCAGCACTTCTTTTCTTTCTTGGAGGTAAACAAAATAATGGTGCATTTTATAATCCAATGGCATTGCAGAGTTAATAGCAAATGGGACTGTTTCTATTTTGTAGTCAAGGAGGCCCAAGCAGAGACAGGTTATGCAACTTGCCCGAGGTCACCTGTGAGGACTCAGGGGCGCCCTGGCTGGATCCAGCCAGCTCCAGGCCTCCGCCCGCAGACCAGCTCCCTCAAAGGAGCCCAGCCCAGGCCAAAAGGGACTCAAACAAAAGGAAACTTTGTGCTCACTTCGGCAGAACACATGCCAAAACTGGGACGATACAAAGATTAGCATGGCCCCTGCACAAGGATGGCACGCAAACTGGTGAAGTGTTCAGTGTTTTAAAAAAAAGAAAAAGAAAAAGAGTTATAGAGTTATGGTGCCAGTTAGCAGCTAATGCCTCCATGTTCCTGAATTCTGGAAATTTCTAAACAAAACCAAAAACACTCCATTGTTTATAACTGATCTCCTTTGTATGGCGCACACACGACCACCCCAGCACGTGCCAAGCTGTCTAGACACTGTCTCATTTCTGCCTTCCAACAAAACACGGGTGATCGTTTTCAGTTACATGACAGATTAATGGAGCACGTGTCTCTTTTTAATTTGTATCAAATGAATGTGGACACTGTCAGAATAACTAGAACATAATAGTTTATTATGTAAAGTAATGTTCTCCTTCCCCACCTTTATTGCAACAACTTTTAACCAGCTGTGACTTTAGTTCTCCTAGGAAATACCTCCTAAACTGTCAACGCTTTGATCAAGCCTTCTTTCTTGGTTGAACAATTGAAGATACCATTTTCCCACTATGAGAGACCAGAAACTGGCTCATTTACCTTGTTGCCTTTTCCTTCTCCATTCTAATATTTATAGTTATTAACTTTTGATTAGCAAGCTTGGTACTTGAAAACAATGTATACTTAGCGGTTACCAGTGGCCGAGGGGGGGCGGGGCAGACGGGCATTGCTGTTTAGTGGGTACGGAGTTCCGGTTGGAGGTGATGGAGATGTTCTGGCAACGGCCAGTGCCGACGGCCGCACAGCCACAGGGGAGCACTTGATGCCATTGGATTGTGCCCGGCAAATGATTAAATTTGAAAACTTCTGTTCTCCATATATATGTTTATCACAACAAAAAACAATCCAATTCACCAAGTTTAAATGTATATACTTAAGAAGGTACGTATTACAATGACTCCCATTCCTCAGAGGTTAACCAGCAGAAGGTCAGGCAACCAGAGGGGCAGATTTGAGGTGACGTTTTCCCTGACTCTGAGACTCGTCCTGCCCTCCTGCGGAGCGGAGAATGTGTTCCTTCCTTCATCTGCTCACTCAGATGTTTTCCTGGGGGCCTGCTTTCTTCCCAGCGCTGTTCTAGGGGCCGGGGAACCCGCAGCCACCAGACAAACCCAAGCTGGGAGCTGGCCCCGCCGGACCGGAGCTCACCTTAAACAGCGCGCGCACCTCCTGGTCTTCATTCTCCAGCGCCCAGAGCCGCCGCCTGGCTGCTTCCTGCAGGGGGCCGTTTACGCACCGGCTGGAGCGGCTCTTCACACTGAAGGAGAGTGTCAGGTCTGCAAGAGAACAGGGAGAAGGACCAGGTGGGAGCGCAATGAGGGGGAAGAAACAAGTAGTCACCAGCGCTTCTCACGCCTAAACCCTAAGTGGATGTGCCCAATACTCAGAGGCTACCGGAGATCTTAACGATCCCTGATCCCCGGAACACCTCCTTTAAACCAGCCCCCAGAAGAAAACGCTTAAGTCCGCTAATGCTCTGGAAGCCCAGGGCTCGGTGTGCTTGGGTTGGCTGTTTCTGCTGTGAGCAAGGTTGATCCCGCGCTGCCTGGCACTAGGTGACAGAGCTGACACTGTTGCTGAACGTTCACTAAACACATTAAGCATCAGCTGTAGAGCCAGCGAGGACACGTATTTCCTCCTGCAGATAATTTGTGAAAATTCTGAGCTCTTTACACATTTATGAAAATGTGTGTATATATCAAAGTAGAAATGTAATAGATACTATGTATTTTATGCATTACATATACATATACACATACAGTTTGTCTCGAACCTGTTTTTTTTCTGATAATGCATTTATTAATATTTGCCAGGGTAATTGGTTAATGTATTAAAATCTATCTTTAATGCCTTCAAAGTACACATTCACTCACCCAACACAGTGAGCAGAAGCTGTTTTAAGTGCTGGGTACAGCAGGAAACAAAACAGACATGGTCCCTATTCTCGTGGAGCTTGTATTTTTGGCCAGTGACCAGTTCCATGAACACGGTACTTTGGATGGAGGAAAATGCCATGGAAAAATGGAACAGGGTAAAGAGACAGAGCGATGGAGCAGCTGGAGGCCAGGGTCTGCCTTTGGATTGCGTTGTCAGGAAAGGCCACACTTAGAAGGTTCATCTTGTAAATGCACTTTGCCATGCGCCTCCTTCACTCAGTAAGCAGACTTATCCAACACAGTAAACCAAGGAGGGTATGGACTGAGAAGTCTCCCTTCTGGCCGGAACTTGCCAGGACCTTTCCGAATTCCTGAGGGATGGCCCCCATCATACTGGCCTAGGCCCCCAAGGCAACCCCGACCTCTCCCTTGGAAAGGCCCGTCTTTAACCGAGAAGTCTAGAAAACGCGGCGGCTGCAGGCCAGCTCCAGTGTGACATGCCCAACTGACCTGACATTGCTGTGAACTTCGGTTGGACGTTTGTCCCCTTCCACTCCTCCCTGGCCTGTGTTCTAACCTCATCCAAGCCCTCCATCTTCGGTAGTCGAGCTCCAACCTTCTGCCTCGTAGCCTCTCTGCACTCTGATCTCTAAGAGGAGGGGAAGTCCGGGGGAGGCGTCACACAGACCTGGGCCCAAGGCCTGGCTCTGTTCTTGCCAACTGCACCCCCCTGTGTGGTTAATTACCTCTCTAGGCTTGACTTTTCTCATTAGCAAATGGCTCTTGGAGTGCCTGTCCCACAGGGGTTTTCAGAGGCTTACTAAATGAGATTATGCACATAAAAAGTTTGTTCAGTGCCTGGCACATGCTAAGTGATCACTGAACAACATTAAGCATTAGCTCCTGCCCCTCACAAATCCCCCACCCTCACCCCAGGACTCCAGGAATTGCTGTTCTCACTGCCCTCATCTTGTCACGCTTGTAATTAACCTTGGCTCTGTGATTTTTCACCGATCTTGTCTCCTCTGTCCTTGCACAACCTGATCCAGGCTCCCCTGAGAGTCTCCAACAGCCCCTGGTCAATGACAGCCCCTTCAACGTAAGTCTCCTTGCCACACATGCACGTGAATCCCGGGATATGGAACTCAAAAGACGTGGATTCAAATACACAAACTGCGTTTGCGACCTCAACCCGTGGGAGCTAACACTGCAAGCGGGGGCTCCGGGCCCAATGTGGGGCCGCAGCGCCCGCCGCACCGCCAGGCGGCAGAATGAGCCTAGTTTGCTCCAGTTTGGTGTAAGTGTACCTTGTCTCTTTTTTTTTAGTCCTTCTGAAAACCGGTTTTTAATCATGATAATATATCTGATTGATTCTGTCTGCAACTCTTCTTTATAAAGGAGTGGTTGGCTGAGGCTCCCCTTCTCTCTCCACAGCCTTCCGGGAAGCAGCCCCATGGCAGAAAGCACCGCAAGACAAACGATTTCAGCCTTGGCTGATTAAGTTCCACCTACACAGACCCCTTGTCCCCTTGCTCACTGGTTTTCATGCACAGATAAGGCCGAATGCTGACTCCGCTGTGTTCACGCAAGAACAGATGGTGATTCAACGTTTGGCGGGAGGGCCCAAGCTGACAGGCAGATAAGCAGATTGACACAATAAAAAGAAATGAAGGGCAAGGTTTCGCTTATTGTCAGCCAAGCAGTTTGGCAGAATTTGAAATTAGGAAAAGAAAAAACCTAGTATGACACTTGCACAATATCGATTGACCTGATTTATGTCCTTTGAAACAGTCATAATGTAAACCTTTTTCACAAATCTGTATTTTGTCTGCTGGAGAGAAGGGCATGTTTGGAGGGGCCATGAAGCATTGTGGCTACGCACAAGGACTGGATTGAAATCCTCTTCTCATCACGGACTAACTGGCGGTGGGGAAGTCACCTCCCTCTCTGAGAGTCTCTCTGCCACCTTCAAAATGGGAAGTTTGGTGCCACCTCCCACAGGGGAGCATGTGCAGATGGTAAGAACATACGACGGTCACTTAGCATGTGCTTGGCACAAGGTTTGCCCTTAACAATGGTCCCCGTGACTATACGAGAGAAATGAGTCTTCCACAGGGTTACCCTCCGAGTCCCCAGTGCACGGCTCAGCCTAGTGCGGCTCTCCGAGGGCGACTCTCCCTTTGCCAGCTTCACTGGGTGGGGGTGGCCCTTAAGGGGAACCTTGTGAGAGGCGTGTATTGAGAATAAGAATTTTTCACATTAATTTCAAAATCTTTTCCTGCTTCTGAAAGATTCATATAGATGCCCTTCTGATCAGCCAATCTCACCTCACATATTCAACCTTTTATTCACTTATTCATTACTTTAACAAATATTTATTGAGAGCCTACTTTGTACAAGGTACTGTTAGGTACTGTATAGAATATAAATGTGACCTCTACATATTTATTCAACTATTCCTGTATTTATTTACCAGACATTTTCGGAACACCAGCTATGTACATGTAATTCTTTTAGGTATCATGTAGAATATATAATTATTTAAAAGTATTACCCCTGACCTTCAGCACCTTAAAATCTAACCAATGATGTACCTTTTTAATACAACAAATAGGTATGGAGTTCCTAATATGTGTCAGATTGTGAACAGCTTGGAGTGTTAAACTTCAGAAGGTTTAACTTAATCTTATAGACAATGGAAAGCGGTGGAAGATTTGTGAGCAAGTGCATGTCATTGTCAAGGTCATGCCTATAAAGATACATTTGGTGGTGGTTCTAAAAAAGATCAGAGGGAGGGAGCCTGCAGATGGAAGAGATTGAGGAGGTGGCTGCAGTATTCTACATTCAAAATACTTTTTAAAAATAGGGTTTGTCTTTGGCATTTAGATACCTGGAGTCACGTTCTGTAGCGGGAAACATTTTTGCTTGTCTTCGGATGCAGATCTAAACTCACTTGATATGGCTGGATCCTGGGGAAGAGGTTCTTTACCTGGAGAAGATCAAATGAAAGGTCATGGGTGAGGGTGTAAGCAAGTTATAAACGAAGACTGAAAGTTTTTGTCAAGTGGCAATTTTTCTCCCAGGCTGGCGGTTTGGAAGAATTCTATCCCCATTGCCTTATAATTATTTAGTACTTACTTGTTAGCCAAAAAATCTGTCATACCTGCC